TGCTGCATCATTTTCACTTTGATTTTCGGTGTGTCTTTGAATTCAGTCTTCTGTAGGTCGATCATTTTCATTTCCATCAAACGATGGGGCATTGTCATGTTTAGCACGACTGTCATATTGACTATCATATGCCTTTAAATGTTTTCTATATATTTTGTCTCTGCTCCTCCCTTTCCTTTGGTTTAGTTAATGCTGTATAGATAGCCCTCCCCTTTTCCCAGAGATGCATATCAGCTAGCCTCATGGCATGGAGCAGAACCAGTATGATCTTTTGACCTATGGAATATTCATTGTTGTAAGATTCTCTGTTTTTGGAATAAACTTCACAAGATCTACAAGATGTCTTATCCATTGAGTCACTGACTGTGGTATCCAACTGAGGTTGAAGTTATCACTATCTCATCACAACTGTAAGTTACAGAGATCACACTATCAATGCTTAGATTGGAGAGACAGCACAGGCATCTTTATGTTCCTAACACATTACCCAGTCCATATCAGTACAGAGATCCAAAAGGAGATTTTTTCCCCATTGAGATCTGATGTATTTTCAAAGTGTTCCTTTCATTTTTTGAGCAGTGTGCATATACTGTATATACCATAATTTGTAGACACTATAACTTTCATACTAACTAATTAATATAGACGTATTGGCCTAAATGTATGAAGAAATTAGATTTTTAAAAAAAAATTTATTGGATATGTTTTATAGCAAAAAGTAAAAAATATAGTTTTTAAAAAAGATTTCAGGCTTTTTTTTCATTTATATTGCAAAAATAAAAATCCCAGTGTTGATCAAATACCACCAAAAGAAAGTTTTACTTGTGTGAAAAATTATATAAATACAGTGTTTCATTACCGTGCAATTGCCAGTTAAAGTAGTGCAGTGCCGAATAGCAAAAAATGGTCATGAAGGGGGAAAATGTATTTATTTCAGGTACTTGTATAGCGCTGTCATTTTACGCAGCTCTTTACATATATAATTTACATTCACATCAGTCCCCAACCTTCAAGGAGTGTACAATCTAAGGTCCCTAACTCATACAGGGGTGGACTGACCATTTGGAAACTCGGGCACTGCCCGAGGGCCCGGGGTCAGTAGGGGGCCCCATGAGATGCCCCTGGTACCTTTTTCATAGGCTTTTTTGAGTTTGGGCAAGGACACAGGGGCCCCATGATCCCCTATTGCCCGGGGACCCCATGAGTTGTCAGTCCGTCCCTGCACTCATACATACACATACTAGGGCTAATTTAGACAGGAGCCAATTAACCTACCAGCATGTCTTTGGAGTGTGGGAGGAAACTGGAGTACCCCGAGGAAGCCCACGCAGGCACAGGGAGAACATGCAAACTCCAGGCAGGTGGTGCCGTGGTTGGGATTTGAATTAATACTGCCAGGCGGGAGTGCTAACCATTTAGCCACTGTGCTGCCCATGCCCTAAAATCTTCTGGAGCTTAAGTAGTTAAAAGGAATCTAAAGTCTTTTAAAATTCATAATAATCATTATTATACCAGAAAAATCCTATTAATAGTTTTTAATAGAAAAATTCTTTCTTTGCACAGTTTGTAAAGATATCTGTGTATGAGGACACCAGAGTTGCTTATTTGATATGCAGGCTGTTCTCCAATTTTAGTAGTACTGCACAGTGAGTGTGTCTTCCTGCTGTGCTTAGACCAAATATACTATTTTCTATGCTGCCAACTGATTTAAAGCAGAATAAAACCCAAAACCAAACATTTATTATATTGCAGCTAACAGTCATTAGATGTGGTGGCTGCATTCGTTTTTTTTTTCCTTTTATTTCACCTGGTGATCAGGGCACTAACACACCTCCTCTCCTGTATTACGAGTGCCCCCATTCTTGATGAAGGCACGTAGGAGGCACACTTGGACCGCAGCATTCATAGCCTGGGGGGAGGGGAGCATTAGATGTACTAGCAGATTTAGATACACTAACAAGTGCCCAACTCCAGCTCACATGGCAATTACACCAGCAGTTACAGCAACAGATTTGTTTCTTTTGGGATAAAGGTTTTACTTAAATAAATAAAAGCTGATCACTGTAAGCATCTCTGTCAGTGGTAAATGGTTTGTCTTCAACCCTCTAACTCAGGGGTGTCAAACTCCATTTCATCGTGGGCCATATCTGCATTATCAGTAAGACTAGATGTCCAGAGCACCCCCCCCCCCCCCCATTACATCACATGTCAAGAATCCCACATCCTCCCTTACAGCATCATGCACCCCCTTTGGGGGCAGAGCTGGAAAGCAGGAAGTGCAGGGTCTGGAGGAGGACCAGAGGAGGAGTGGAGTCAGTTACCTGACTCTGCTGAATGGTGAGATCAGGGGAGGCAGAGATGAGAGGGTGCTGCAGCTTCACTGAGAGGTGCAGGATTTGGCAGCGAGAGGGAAGTGCTGCCGATAACCGGCAACCAGGGGCGGACTGACCATTTAGGCACTCGAGCACTGCCCTAGGGCCCGGGGTCAGTAGGGGGCCCCATAAGATGCCCCTGGTACCTTTCATAGGCTTTTTTAGGTGTAGTTTGAGTGTGGTCATGGACACAGGGGCCCCATGATTTCCTATTGCCTGAGGGCCCCATGAGTTGTCAGTCCGCCCCTGCATTTATTATTTATTTCAGGTACTTATATAGCCCCGTCAATTTACACAGCACTTTACATATATAATGTACATTCACATCAGTCCCTAACACTCAAGGGGCATACAATCTAAGGTCCCTAAATCACATTCATACACATATTAGGGCCAATTTAGACAGGATCCAGTTAACCTACCAGCATGTCTTTGGAGTGTGGGAGGAAACCGGAGTACCCGGAGGAAACCCACGCAGGCACAGGGAGAACATGCAAACTCCAGGCAGGTGGTGCCATGGTTGGGATTTGAACCAACGATCCTAGTGCTGCTAGGTGGAAGTGCTAACCATTTAGCCACTGTGCTGCCATTTACATTGGCCTTTTCATGTGGTAAAAGGCCTGTGATTGGCCTTTTACCTTGCAATGTGATCAGCTGTGTCCGTAGGACACAGCGATCACAGACAGTGCCGGTTGCATGCCATAAATCAAAGACTAATCAACACATGGGGCAGAGAATTGGGATCAGGAGGCCACAGTACAGGTTCTGGGACACTGCCCGGGCCATCCTGGGACAGCTTGGTAAAAACATGACTGTCCTGGTAAATCTGGGACAGTTGGCAAGTATGACGTAATGCAAAATTATCATGGGGCCCCCATGCACCTGAAGCCTCTGAGCAGTGCCCAGTGGTGCCCATGCATTAAGACAGCCCTGCCTCCATGTTAACTGTGGGAAGCCCTCTGTGACTCCTTGCGGCTTCGCAGCCAGCTCCCTACTGTGCATGCGCTATGTGAATGTTCCCGCAGCCTCCTGGGATCCGTGACATGTCCCAGGAGGTTGTAGGTGTGTTTCTGACCTTCTGATCTGATCGCCTAGACGGTGAGAATGGAAATGGGAGCAGGTATCTGTCAAAACTAGGTACCTACTCCCCGCAGAAAAATTCCAATTATGGTAGAGGGGGGAGGAGGAAGAAAGGCGAAACGTCCATTTTTGGGTGAAGTTCGGCTTTAAAGAATATGTAACCCAACATTTCCTATTCCTGATATGTGCCTGCTGTGCCATGTACTTGTATGAAAAAGTATCCTGTTCTCTTTGTATTGCTTCCTTTGTGTGAAGTCCCTAATGTTCCTGCCAGTCCCTCTGCTTTCCTATTAAAAACTGACCACACTAGGCATGATAGCACAACGTGGTCAGTTCTCTAGTTGTACTGGGAACTCAGTGAGCTCTCCTCCAATGATCAGACTTGTGCTGACATGCCCCCCTACACAGCCATTCACTGGGAAGATCAGTGTCCTGCTGTTTCTCCTCCTCCATTTCTCTAAGCTCCTTATGAGAGCAGAACAAAGGGTATGTGATCACTTATAAAAAAGGTAAGGGTTTTTTTTTGTGTTTGTTTTTTTGTATCGATACACAAATATTTTCCTTTCATTTCTATTTTCAACTCAATGGGTTGTTTTACAAGGTGAGGGTTCATGTATACATTAATGACAGGATCACTGGGTTAAAATAAAATGTAAAAAGTGTGAAAAACAAAAAAACGAATGCAGTCACCACACGTAGGGACCAGTAAACTGCAATACTATTCATTTTTGTGTATGGATGGTGTTGCTTATAAAAAAAAAAAAAAAAAGGACCGATAAGATGCTAAGTCATATATTCCTTTCAATTGAAATGATTTTCTGTGTTTGTAATTTGTAACATTTGCCGTTATTTGTGCCCTAAACCTTCCTGCAGGATGGCCGTTCTATCAAGGGCAGCATTGGCATCCGCCCGTCCTGTGTCATTATTCCACCATCTCTGACTAGTAAATACACAAGTGCCTAGCTGGGATTTAAATCCCCCCCCCCACCCCCCATAGGGAGAAGCCGATTGATGCCTTCCTTGGAAATGTTGACATCATCTTTAAGGCTAGCCTATTGTTTTGACAAATGACCTTTAAGAGGAGATCAAAAAGAGAGAAAAGCCAGCAGGACAGCAATGTCATCAAAAGAAATACAAAAAAAAAAAAAAAAAAAAAAAAGATGAAAAAAAATTAAAAGATGAATAATAATAAAGAAGAAAAAAAAGGACAGAAGGAGGGGGGAAGAGAAGTGGAAACGGAGGTGGAGGAGAGAGGAACAGTGGGGGGAAACACAGAAAAGGGGAATTAGAGAAAAAAGAGGAGGAATCACAGAGGAAAGAAGAGAGAGGGGGAGAACCAGAGAGGAGGAGGAGGAGGGGAGGGCGACGCACAGACAGGCTGCTGCTGCTGCTGCAGGAGGAATTGGTGCAGGATCAGGAGAGAGCGAACTGCCGAGGGGGGGAGACTGACAGGGGGCGAGGAGAGATCCCCGTATCCCGACAACTCCATCTGAGGACCCCCCAAAAAAATCAGCACAGCTCCCTCCCATCTCCCCCCCCTCCAGAGACATGTCCAGCGAGAAGACAGGTGAGAGAGCGGTCAGAATACAGATGCGCTCATGGACCGAGCAAAAAAAAAAAAAAATGGGGGAGGGGATATTAAGATCGATTCCAAACGTTCTTATCCAGAAAATCGCGCACCTGTGTTCTGCTCACCCCGTAATAAACAATAACGTATCTTGTCTGTGTCTCTCGTGTCGTATCCGTGGTCCCTCATCATCCTCATCTCCGTCATCATCATCCTCATTGATATATAGGTGCTGGTCAGATGCAAGGAAGAGAGGAAGGAATGGGGGGGGGGGGGGGGGCTGTGTGTGAGTGGGTGACCCACACCCCCAGATGTCAGACTGTGTTAGGCCGGGTACACTGCACGTTGCTCGGGTACACTGTACATTGCTCAGGTACACTGCGGGCACCTCTGTGTGTCAGTATAGGTCCAAATACAAATGTCACCGTGTGTCACCTAAGTATTCACATATGTATGATGTCACTGTGTGCCATCTATGTGTTTATACATGTACAAGTCACCATGTGTCACCTATGTACTTATACATGAACATGTCACCATGTGTCATGTATGTACTTATATATATGCCACCGTGTGGCACCTATGTATCCACCATCCACCAATACATAGGTGTCACCTATGTATTTATACATGTCACCATGTGTCACCTATGTACTTATACATGAACATGTCACCATGTGTCACCTATGTACTTATACATGAACATGTCACCATGTGTCATGTATGTACTTATACATATATATGCAACTGTGTGGCACCTATGTATCCACTATCCACCAATACATAGGTGTCACCTATGTATTTATACATGTCACCATGTGTCACCTATGTACTTATACATGAACATGTCACCATGTGTCATGTATGTACTTATACATGTACATATTACCATGTGTCACCTACTGTATGTATTTTTACATGTCCATGTCACCATGTGTCACCTATGTATTTATACATGTATATGTCACCATGTGGCACCTATGTATTTATACATGTACATGTCACCATGGGGCAGATTTACTAAAAATGGTGCACTCAGAATCTGGTGCAGTTGTGCACGGTAGCCAATCAGCTTCTAACTTCATCTTGTTCAATTCAGCTTTGGCAATAAAACCTGGAAGCTGATTGGCTCCCATACACTGGTACACCAGATTTTGCACTCTTCAGTTTTAGTAAATCAATCTGTCACCTATGTATTCATCTATGCACTTGTCTCCATGTGCCACTTCTGTATTTTTACATGTACAAGGTCACCCTAACAAGTAGATTAAAATACTGTGCACTAATATATACGTGTGAGTGTGTATGGACAGTAAGTATACAGTGTATATATGTTGTGTGTGTCTATATATAGAGTACTGTGGCTGTCCCTGTCACTTCTCGTGTATTCTGACCTGTTATTGCCCCAGGAGGTTGTTATCTGCAGCTCTGTGTGACAGTGTCCTCTCCTCTCTCACTCTATCTGTGTCCGCTTCACTTTCTCTCTTTCTCTTCCTCTCTCTTTCTTTCTGTCACTCACATTCATTGTGTCTTCTCTCTCCATCACACTCCTTCCCTAATGTCTATCTCTCTCTCTCACTACCGTTCTTTATACTTCTCTCTGTCTATCTCTATTTTTTTAATTTTCGCTCTTTCTCTTCCTCTCTCCTTCATTCCCCTTTTCTTCTTCACTTTTCCTCTCTGGCTCTCCCTCTCTTCTCTCTCCCCAACTCTCTCTCTCTCTCCTTCCTTCCTTTCTTTCTTTTTCTCTGAATCTTTCTCCTCTCTTTTTACCTCCCTCTGTCTCACTCTTCACTCCATCTCTCCTCTCCTCCACTTTTCCCACTTGTCTCCCTCTCTTACTTCCTCTCTTTTGCATTCTTTCTTTTCCTTTCCTCTTTTCTACTTTTATTTCTCTCTCTCACTCCCTCTTTCTATCCTTTCTTTCATTCATTCCCTCTCTCTTTTTCTCTCCCTCTCTCTGTCAGTCCCTCTCTTCTCTCACTAACGCCCTCTGTCTTTTTCCTTCCCCCCTTCCTTTTTTGTCTTACGTGTTTCCTTCCTTTTCTTTTTTCTCTCCTTCAATCTATCTTCCTTTCTTTCCACTTGCCTCCCTGTAATACTCTCTCTCCCTCTCTATATTGCTTTGTCTCACACATTTTTTTTCCTTCCCTTTCCTTTTTTCTTCCTTTCCCTTCCCTTCCCCTCCTCTCCTCTCTTCTCCTCTCCTTTCCACTCCTTTCTCTTCTTCTTTATCTCCCTTCCTCTCTTTTTACTTCTCCTGTATCACGCCCACTCTTTCTGTTCCTTTTTTTCTAGTTGTCTTTCTTCCTCTCCTTCCACTTGTCTCCCTGTCTTCCTATCTGTCTCTCATTTCCTCTTGTGTTTTCTCTGTCACTCATAATCTTTTTCTTTCTTTTTCTTTCTTTCTTTCTTTTTTCTTTCTTTCTTTCTTTCTTTCTTTCTTTCTCTTCCTTCCTTCCCCTTTTCTCCTTTTTCTTCCTCTTTTTAATTTTCTCTGTCTTACTCCCTCTCTTTCTTTCTCGCTCTTTCTCCTTGATCTCTCCAGGCCCTCCAGACTCGGGACCCCACAGCTCTCCCCCACCTTATAATCAGCCTGTAGGGGAAGGCCCCTGCAATGGGGTTATTCCAGGTTATAATGATCCACCACCCCAGCCAGCCAGTGCCACCCTTACTCGCCAGGATGCCCAAGGATACCTACAGGAAACGCCTTTCACGGGCCCACCACCAGCCCCCCAGGGGTATGTGGTGCAGACGCACACTCCCACGGGGACCATGCCAGTTGGAGGATATGTGTCACAACCTACAGGGTATCCAATGCACCTTCAACCCTGCACAGCCTATGTACCAGTATACCCCATGGGAACGGTGAGTACCGAATAAAAGATGGAAGTTTGCATGAACGAAGCACTCACAACTTGGCAAGGATCCAAACATTCAGGTTCAATATACCTGCATAGGTTACCCATGATCTTATTGTGTTTGACCTGCTTTGCCTGAGCTGGATTCTTCGTTCTTCCAGTCAAGGGAGAAATGTTCTCTGAGGTCTGACCGGTATTCACTCTCCACTGTCTGACCCCAAGCTGATATAATGGATTTGTCAAAATGTAGTCAGGTACAGGGGCGGACTGACAACTCATGGGGCCCCTGGGAAATAGGGGATCATGGGGCCCCTGTGTCCTCACCAACACCCAAAAAAGCCTATGAAAAAGCCAATGAAAGGTACCAGGGGCATCTCATGGGGCCCCCTACTGACCCCGGGCCCTCGGGCAGTGCCCGAGTGTTTGACTGGTCAGTCCGCCCCTGGTCAGGTAGCTGACTCTCAAGACGAAGAATAAGTCTCAGACAAAGTAACTAAGGCTAAATAACATGGAAAATATTTTTGAAGTCCCGCGGTGTAGTGAACACACTCACAAAACTAGCACCCAGTGCAAAAAAAAAAGTAAGCACACAAAAGTGAAGCACACAAAAAAATTGCACAGGGTGTATGTCTAGCCCTCCTCTGAAGAGAAAGGGCCCTAGTCCTGATCCCCTGGGGCACAAGGTTCCTGACAGGGACTAAGGCACTCACTGGTCCACCAGGCCAAATCCAGGTGGACCCCTTTCTTCAGGAGGCCTGCCGAAGCAAGGCCACCCTGATTACTTAGTAGGGATCCCCCGAAGGGAGACCCCATGGGAGGGAGAGGACCTCACCAAAAGGACACGTCTCCCCCACCCAAGACTTTCAGGGCAGGCCCGAGGACCTACACCCTACTAATGAAAAAAGTGATAACAGGAAAACATTGTTCTTTCATAGTTAACCATTTTTTTCCCTAGTTTTGTATAGAGCGGAAGGATTAGAACCCCTGCCTGGTTCTTACTGCCATCTGAGCCCCGATTGGAGAGATTTACCCTCACTTCCTGTCCCGGTGACAGTGGTATCACCAGACAGGAAGTGAGGTCCCTCAACAGGGACACAGAATGAAAATGACAGGGGTACTAGGCTTCAACTTCTCTAAAAACATTTATATTTCTGCGTGTGTTGCTGTTGAAGAGTTCCTTTCTCTGTCGGTCTGGCAAAATGTTGTCAGTGGGACAGGAAGTGAAGGGAGATCTTTATAATGGAGCCCCAGGTAGCAGTAAAAAACCTAACTGGGGTTCTAATCCTTTCTAATTCTATTCAAAACTAAAAAAAGCATTAGCTGGTTATACACTTTGAATCTGAAGTTCAATTTACATCTGGCCTCCCTGGTGTCTCCTTTATCCCTGTATCAACATACTAATGACATTTTTAAATAAAACCTTTCTGTTTTCTTGACATACCTTATTTTAGATTCAGTGATGTCATCACTGGGTCTCTGTACTACTCTATGCAATGCAGGCACATCATGGCTGGTGGGGAGGGGGGGGGGGCAGCAAGGTGCTATACATAACTTCTAAAAACTTCACCCTACCCCAGTACTGTGTTCACCAGCCCTCAGCCATCATGCAAACTGTGGGCTGGTTCTTGGGAGGAGTTTTAAATACACAGATGGAAGGGTGTCAGTCTGGAGGAGCGGGTGTTCCTAAGCAGACTGTATTTGCTGGCATACCGCCCTAGGTAATGCCTGCATCTGATGCTGAGCTTCCATGACCGAAATGCAATGAATGTAAGGGGTAAAACAGAAACAGGCAGGCTGGGGGGGGGGGGGGGGGGGGGGGGGGGGGGGGGGGGGGGGGGGGGGGGGGGGGTGATGAAGAGGTGGATGATGCTGGACGTCCTCCAGCAAGGAAATGAGATGGACTCTTTCTGACTTTCTGTAGTTTCTAAATGCACACTGTGAGATGCTCACAGTGAGCTGTGAAATCAGAGTAAGACATTTCAGCACATCTGAGGCGTTTGTACGACTAAGGGAAAGGTCGGAGTTCCGATATAAAGTGGAATTCCAAGCTGTTCTCCTATTCCCCCCCCCCCCTTCTAAGTCCTATAATAACTACCCTGTAGAAGGAAGATGCATGTACTTACCTATTCTGAGGGCCCTCCAGTCTGGTCTCATGGTTGGCTCTCAGTGGTGGCTTCAGGGAAGAGGAGGAACCACCGACAAAGGATACCCCATAGTAAGCCAATAGGTGGTGTCATCACACAGGCTCTGCACCCGCACCCGTTGTCAGCGATCTCTCCTCTACTCCCGAAGTCGGCCAATATGGAGATCATGTGACCAGATCGGAGCACCATCTTCCCTCCACAGGGTCATTAGAAGGGGGTGAAAGAAAGTTCAAGCTTAGTTAGGAATAGCCTGGAATTCCATCATATTAAAGTGGTATTAATCCCAAAACCAAAATTAAATTACACTATATTGCCAAAAGTATTGGTCGGCCGGCCTTTACACGCACATGAACTTTAATGGCATCCCAGTCTTAGTCCATAGGGTTCAATATTGAGTTGGCCCCGCCCTATGCAACTATAACAGCTTCAACTCTTCTGGGAAGGCCGTCCACAAGGTTTAGGAGGGTGTCTATGGAAAGGTTTGACCATTTTCTTCCAGAAGCGCATTTGTGAGGTCAGGCACTGATGTCGGACGAGAAGGCCTGGATCACAGTCTCCACTCTAATTCATCCCAAAGGTGTTTCTATGGGGTTGAGGTCAGGACTCTGTGCAGGCCAGTCAAGTTCCTCCACCCCAAACTCGCTCCTCCATGTCTTTATGGACCTTGCTTTGTGCACTGGTGTGCAGTCATGTTGGAACAGGAAGGGGCCATCCCCAAACTGTTCCCACAAAGTTGAGAGCATGAAATTGTCCAAAATGTCTTGGTATGCTGATGCCTTAACCACTTGGTAACCATGCTATAGTCGCATGACGGCTACAGCGCGATTATCCAGTTCTGGGAGGGCATCATATGACGACCTCCCAGAACGTGCCCTCCCATGCACCCCCAGGGGCGCGCACCCAGCAATCTCCATGATCTCTGTGTCCTACAGACTAATCTGATCACGTGATGAAGTAAAAGGCCAATCACATAAGCCTTTTACCTCCTGATCAGCTGTTTCCAATGACACAGCAGATGACAGAGTAAATGCAGTTGCTGGTTATCGGCAGCATTTTCCTCGCGCTGTCACAGCATGAGGAAAGTACTGCCGATAACCGGCAAATGTCACAGAGGAGATCTGTACTGATCATCAGGGTACTGATGGTCAGTGCCCTAATGATTAGTGCCCTGCAGTGCTGCCCAGTAGTGCAACCCAGCAGTGCTCATCAGTGCCTCCCACCAGTGCCCAGCAGTGCCCCCAACAGGGCCACCCATCAGTGCTGTCCAGCAGTTGCGCCCATCAGTGCCATAAGTCAGTGCTGCCAGTCACGACTCTCAGTCAATGCTGTCAGTCAGCACTGCCAGTCAGTGTCATCCATCAGTGCCACCTATCAGTGCCCATCAGTGCCAACCATCATTGCTGCATATCAGTGCAGCATCATCAGTGCCTCCTCATCAATGCCCACCAGTGCCGCCTCATCAGTGCAGCCTATCAATGCCCATCAGTGCTGCCTATACGTGCCACCTCATCAGTGCCCATCAATGATGCCTATCAGTGCTGCCTATCAGTGTAGTCTCATCAACGCACATCAGTGAAGGAGAAAAATTACCTGTTTGCAAAATTTTATAATAGAAACAAAGAAAAACTTTTTTTTTTTTCAAATTTTTTGCTCTTTTTTTTTTGTTTATAGTGCAAAACATAAAAAACCCAGGGGCGATTACCACCAAAAGAAAGCTCTATTTGTGTGAAAGAATTATACAAATTTCAAATGGGTACAATGCTGCATGACCGTACAAATGTCATTCAAAGTGCGACAGCGCTGAAAGCTGAAAATTGGCCTGGGCAGGAAGGGGGTATAAGTGCCCGGTAGGAAAGTGGTTAAAGTGGTAGTAATCTCTTCTTTAATAATTCTACCAACAGGCAAGTTTATAATAAAGCTTATCTGTAGGAAAAATTAATATTTCCTAATTATGCACCGTTTAGGAGATATTAGCCCTTTTTGATAGTCGGCACATGCTCTCTGAAGGAACGGCACGGGTATGCACTGTGCCGTGGCCTGGGACTCCCGCGTGCATGTGGTGACGGCAACACGGCTTGGCCAGTCAGCCAGCCAGCCAGAGCTCCTGAACCCGGAAGGAAGACTGGTGAAGATGGAAGCCCCGGGGAACTGTGACAGCGCTCCGTTGGAGGGTTCCATTTCAAGATAAGTCCTTCATAATGTGCTAGTATGCAAAGCATACCAGGACACTATGCCTTTTCCTTGCAGGGGTTCTTTTTTTTTTTTTTTCTTTTTTTTTGGATGCGGTTTACTACTGCTTTAAGTGTTCCCTTCACTGGAACTAAGGGGCCAAGCCCAACCCCTGAAAAACAACCCCCACCATAATCCCCCCTCCACCAAACTTTACACTTGGCACAATGCAGTCAGGCAAGTACCGTTCTCCTGGCAACCGACAAACCCAGACACATCCATCGGATTGCCCGACAGAGAAGCGTGATTGGTCACTCCAGAGAACACGTCTCCACTGCTCTAGAGCCGGCGTCTCCAAACTGTGGCCCGAGGACCGGATATGGCCATTTGCTACCCTCTATCCAGCCCTTGGGGCACTATTCCTCCCACTGAGACCAACAATGTGGCAGTACTTCTCCATTGAAACCAATGAAGGGGCACTATTCCTCCCACTAATACCAATGATGGGGCACTATTCCTCCCACTAATTCCAATGATGGGGCACTATTCCTCCCACTAATACCAATGATGAGGCACTATTCCTCCCACTAATAACAATAATGGGGCACTATTCCTCCCACTGATACCAATGATGGGGCACTATTCTTCCCACTAATAACAATGATGGGGCACTGTTCTTCCCACTGATACCAATGATGGGGCACTATTCCTCCCACTGATACCAATGATGGGGCACTATTCATCCCACTGACACCAATGATGGGACACTATTCCTCCCACTGATACCAATGATGGGGCACTATTCCTCCCACTAATAACAATAATGGGGCACTATTCCTCCCACTGATACCAATGATGGGACACTATTCCTCCCACTAATACCAATGATGGGACACTATTCCTTCCACTAATACCAATGATGGGGCACTATTCCTCCCACTAATAACAATGATGGGGCACTGTTCTTCCCACTGATACCAATGATGTTACACTATTCCTCCCACTGATACCAATGATGGGGCACTACTCCTCCTACTGATACCAATGATGGGGCACTACTCCTCCTACTGACCATCAACCCTGCGGCTATGTTTGTTCTCACTGATGCTGGGGCCAAGGCATTTTCTATCCTCGCTGGCCCTGATCTGGCCCTCCTGTCTGAAGGACAGTATACTGGTGTGCTTTACACCATGGCATCCAATGCTATGCATTGCACTTGGTGATGTAAGGCTTGGATGCAGCTGCTCAGCTATGGAAATGCATTCCATGAAGCTCTCTACACACTGTTGTTGTGCTAATCTGAAGGCCACATGAAGTTTGGAGGTCTTTAGCTATTGACTCTGAGGACAGTTGGCGACTTCTGCACACTGTGCGCTTCAGCATGCGTTGACCCCCCTCTGTCATTTTACGTGGCCTACCACTTGGTGGCTGAGTTGCTGTTGTTCCCAGTGGCTTCCACTTTGTTATAATCCCACTAACAGTTGACTGTGGAATATTTAGTAGCCAGGAAATGTCACGGATGGACTTATTGCACAGGTGACAACCTATCACGGTACCACCACGCTTGGAGTCATTGAGCTCCTGAGAGCGACCCATTCTTTCACAAATGTTTGTAGAAGCAGTCTGCATGCCTCGGTGCTTGATTGCATACACCTGTGGTCATGGAGGGGATTGGAACACCTGAATCCAATGATTTGGAGGGGTGTCACAATACTTTTGGCAATATAGTGTATATTGCAGCTTACCAATCATTTGATGTGGAGGCTGAATTTGTTTTCTTTGTTTAGGCTTTCCCCCCTGTCGTCACCTGATGATTTGGCCAGTAACATACCTCCTGTATTAGAGCACCCCCGCTCTGGATGAGGGAGCACAGGGGGGCACCTTTGGAGAGCAGCATTGTCAGTCTGGGGGGAGGGAGAAGTTAGATGTACTAGCAAATTTAGATACACTAACAAATTGAAGTCAAACTCCAGCTAACACTTTATAATCAGTCACAGCAAACAGTTTTTTTTCCTTTTGGGACAGAGGTTTAAATAAATAAAATCTGATCATTGTAAGCATCCCTGCCAGTTTTAAATAGTTTGTCTCATCCCTGTAAACTGATATATCTTCAGGAGAGCTTGTTCTTTTGAAAGACAACATATTTACTGACTAAATCACCAGATGAAAATAGAAGAAAGAAAGCCTAAAAAAGAAAACTAATGCAGCCATCACATGTAAGAATTGGTGAGCTGCAATATAAAAAATGTTTGCTTTTGGGTTTAATACCACTTTAACACGAAATGCTCAGATCCTTACATAAATCCAACAATGACTGCTTCTTTTTACATAATATGAAGCACAATATGTAGAGTATGTCAGTTTCCGAAACTTCAAAGCGTAAATCCAGCAAATTATGTCATTTTGGATAGCGTGGGGAAGGGTTAGGACCCCTGTAAGGTTATATTTTGAGGAACAATCTGTCTGTCATGGAGTCCTGCATAGCAGTAAAGATCCAGCAGGCATTCTAATCCTTCTCTATTCTACTTAAAATGATAAAAGAAGTTTTGGCTGGACTTACGAATGAAGACCTCGTACACATGGGTGGTCTATCTGCCCCTTCAATCATCCACCTAAACTGTGCAAAGGTGGCTGGAGGGGGGTAGCACATATTGCCCGAACATGATTCTTTGTGGCGTGGCAAAAATTAAATAGCATGTTGCGTGTGGTGGGCAGTAATGTCACAAATGTGACCCGCCGCAGCCACAATCCAAACACTTGGCTCATGGTTGCAGCACAGAATTTCAATAAGAAAATCCCTGTTTGGTTGAAAAAAAAAAAAAGGGTATTCAGAAGATGGGTGTATCGCCTCCTGAATGGCTGGCAGCCAGGGCTGGGACAAGGGTGGGCGGGAGGGCCAGCTGCCCTGGGCGCAATGGTTTGCTGTAGGGATGGGGGCACCTTCCTTCTTTTACAAGGGACACAAGTAGTTACAGTGGCAGTGATCTGGACAAGTGAATGACTGCTGGGCGTAGGATCCCCTAAGCTTGCACATGATGAACTGGGCGGGGGTGAAGGGGTGGGGGGGTAGGGGTGGAGAGGCGCAGTTTGGCACCTCTGCCCTGGGAGCAGGATGACCTTGACCAAGTACTGCTGGTAGCTGCTGCTCTCTTGCTCTCTGGAAGGTGATCTGCCATGGATTGCCTTTCAGAGGGGTGATAGAGAGTGCCACTCATGTGAACAAGGCCTGATTGCCATAATTGGAAGTTTACATTGTATTACATTGGTTTGACTCCAAGCGATTCAATTATTATGGCATTTGTTGTCTTTTACTTTTGCCTCTGAAAAGCAATGTCGAGAAGCGTGGTAGGTATGCATAAAGTCCGTCCCTAGTTGCCAGGTTTTTGCTATATATGCAGCTACACTGTCCTATGCCATCTGTAATAGGACATTGTAGAGCTCTTTTATCAAGTGCAGTTTGCAGTTTTGTAGTTCTTTGATAAAGCTGCAAACAGCTATTGGAGAATGTGACAGACCCAACCAGGACAGGGGCTTTTGGAGTGGACTAGGGGCTAGCCTTCTATGGGATCGCTGTTCTTCAGCCACACACACACTTGGGTAGCATACCATTGCAGCGCCCAATACCCATCATCCAGCACCATTTCCATCTGTACCAGCCTCTCCAGTTTCAGCAGCCATTCCTCTCGAGGATGTTCTTCTAGGAATGGTATCTGCAATGCAAGCTGATCACAAAATTGCTGCTCTGTAGTTGGAAGTACTTCTCCCTGGAGAACCTGAACCTCCTCGAGGGCCGCGTCCCACAGTTCTCTTCAAATCACATCCTTCCAGTCCAGCTCACCTTCTGCAGAGACAGGGCCAACAAACTGGGCCAACGCTTCCTGCAGTCTCCACTGAAATTCAGCTGCCATTTCCTGTCCTTCTTCATCCACAACCCCAGTGGTAGTTTGGATTGCTCTGAAGGGAGGAAGCAAATCCCACCGCTGCCGCCTGTCACCCCGATTGGATGGTTCCATCAGAGAACCTCTTCCTCGCCGCTGGGACACAGGACCAAGGTATTATAGCTGGGCATTGCATCCAAGACTAGACAACACTAGCTTAGGTGCAACTGGATCTTTTTATTGAACAGAAATACAGGCTTTTATACACTTAAAAAATAGGAGCAGTCCCCACATGAACAATAAAAACAAATATTACACATTGGGATACACACTGATTAGGTAAGAGCTTGATCACATTATCCTAAACAATGCCAATGGTAAACAGTACGCCCAACAGCTAAAAGTGATCTAATTAATAGGAAGCTAATCAACAGCCAAGCACCCAGACAAGCCAGGGATCCCACCCCAGACAG